CTACGTAGCATGGGTCAAATTGCGCCGCCCGGGATTATGACAAGGTCGACCAATAGTCAAGGAACGTGATGTGTGTCGCAATCGACGCAGGTCTAGAATGAGGTCCACCTTTTTTGCCTTGCGTCCCCGGCACGTTCCGCAGCAAGGTGATAATTGCAACCCTGTTTATTCAACGGCATCGTCAAGCCATTCGCCCTGACTACCAATAGCCCCCAATGGTACCGTGTTCGGGGACCATCTGTCACCGACATGGCCTCGTAGAACCAACCCTCGAGCATACTCGTACCACGGTACAGAGTACTGACAAGTACTTGTAAATCCTTAGCACCCACCAGTCGGCGGCCCACCTCAAAGCCACTCACCATGCCGACGGCGCTCACCGGCCAGGAGACACCCCGAATGTGGCTACTTCCTATATAAAAACAGGGCCGCGGCTCCTCAATCAACGTATTTGGGCCCCTTGCGGCTTGGGTAAGGCTGCTGTTGCGAATGCGTAGTGTACAACCTGCGCTCCGTGAAGACTCCCAGCAGACCCTCCAAGCCAAGTCATTGTCGGAACCCGCACCACAGCCCCTCCACAGCCCTTTCCCTTTGCTGCGGACAACAATGTCAATCCCAGTTCCTTGACGAATGCGCGCATACTCGACAATTCGAAGCTTGTTTGTAACGAGATATCGGCGATCCCGATGGCAGTGCAGCGCAGCGCACACGTCATTTCGCTGTCGAATTGCGAGGCGAGAACGGGCGCAATATCATTCCGCGTCATGTTGGCCTGACGGACCCGTTCGGGCGCTGGCCGAAATGGGCGCGTGGCTTGCTGTGCCCCAACACATGCTCGGTGAAGGCAGATCGCCTAGTGTTGCATCATGTTTGGCATGTAAGTGGGCGGAACCTCCCACGTATCCAGCTGATGCGCGAAAACTTTTTCATTGAAACCGCGGCGCATTTAAAGCATGCCCATTTTCAATCACGAAGTTCCCCACGTCTGTTTTGCGCCCGCCTGGCAGCGGCAGTACTTGCCGTCGCAACGACCTGCATAAATGTTGGCCAGCTGGTGGAGCAGTTGGAGGCGTCGCGGCAGCCAACGGTTGCAGGCGCAATCGAGGTAAGCAAAATTTGGTTGTGGCCTGGTGTACGCGCACGCCACGAAGAGGCCCGGCTTGGAAGGTCTTGCGAGCAACTAGGGCGAAGCCAAGTAGCGAAATACGCATGGAACACAAGGCAGCATTGCAACCAAGCAGCCCTTCTTCGTGTGTGGGATGGTTGAGCTCGCCAGGCCATTCCTGCCTGCAGTGTTGTCGGGGCACCTGTGGGCGGACAGTCGGAGCAACATGACGGTCCCAACGGATGGCGGCAGAGCTTCGGCATCAATGCGAGTGCGTCGGCGCTTGGTGAGAGAGTGCGAACGAACTGTAAGACTGCTTGGCGATCGTGAGTCTTGAGGCGCTCCCACTGAGATCTAAGAGTCTTCCCAGCGGTGCCAATACAGGCCACCCCAAGGATGGTCAAGCCAGTGATACCTCCTGTGCGGCAAAACTCACCTTTCATTGAGCTATCCGGGCCAGACTTTGCAAACCTTTCTGCGTCCCTTTTGGAAAGAGCCCTCTTGCACGAAGCTGTTGCATTCCCCTTAGGAGTGTCATGGAGAAACGGAGGCGGGCCGCGAGGTCATAGACGACGTCAACTGAGAACGCGTATGTTAACGAGTCGATACCACGAACGGCCGTGAGAAGCGTATCAAGGCCTGGGCCGGGCTGTAGTTGCGATACCTCAACAATGTCGAGCTCCCGACCGCCTGCAAGGATTTTGATCGTGATTGTGTTTTGCGTTTCCACGGCCGAGCGGTGGCGATTCGCGAATGGTTGAGATGGTGTGAGATTAATTACCGTTACGGATAGGGGTAGCAGGGAAAATGAGCATTGACGCTGGACTAAGAAAGTTGACCTGAGGGGTACCCAAGACTGTCTAACCCTACCAGGTGCGCGGATCTAATGCTCAGCAAATTTACTAGGACGGTGGAA